TCAACTCGAACCCTACAGAAGTTTAATTTCGTGACCGAGATTCGCAGCTTTCTAAAGTCAAATATTTGATTTAAACTAAAACGTCGAATTATTTATCTATTTGTTTATTTAGACTGTACTGCTAATCGACAAGCAAATACTGGTGGAGGTGGTGCCACAAACTTTTTATCTGGAGCTGCACTTGGTGCTTTAGGTGGTTATGTTTTTGGTACTAGAAATCGACGGTAAATTAAAGTATTGATCTATTTATGTTTCGAATAAAATATTTTTCTAGGCCTAATAATCAATATATGCCTGGTACAGCAAACACTGGTTGGTTTGGTACTGGAACAACAACAACAACAGATACACATCACTCTAGCCCATCGTCATCATCAAATGATACTCATACTAGCACTGGTAAGATAGCTATACTAGGTTTTCTTTTCTTGATAAATTATTTTTTTTTCTCATAGGTTATGGTGGTACTACTCGTCGATAAATCTATTTTGACAAAAAAAAAACTACAGTATTCAGCTGTAATTTTATATTCATTACTCTAATTCAGAATCTTTATTTCTTTTTCTCTTTTTTTTTTGTATTTCCATTCTTTTCGTTTCAATTTTTATAAACCAGCGGCATTCATTATTGTATAATTAAATTAATGCATTTAATCATGCAAGATTTATCTAGAAAATTTGACAATAAAAACTGTTTATTCTTTTTTCGAAAAGATCTATTGTCTTAACAGACATTGAAATAGAAGCTTCATCAATAATCCATTACTGAATAAATTACACAAAAAAAAAAACACCTAACAAATGTGATTAATAAAGTTTTAACAAACAGCATATGTTTTTAAGAAAAAACTTTTCACATCGGGAGCATAGCTATGTCTTGTATATAACTACGTGTATCGAAATCTTATATCACCGTAAAAAGTACATGTAGAAGCATTTCTATTTTCTAATTCTAAATGTGTTATGCAGAATTGCCAGATCTTTTAAACTAACAAGAAAAATTTTGAATTGTAATATATTTGTGGATTCGAGCTTTGATGAGTCTGATTACAAATTTTAATGTACCTTTTACCTGCAACCTGGTTGTTCAATTGTAATGACTGAACAGCATAGAGTTTTGAGATCATGTTCTTATGAATCTAAAGCTTTTCTGAACTACACAAAACATTCAGTATTGTAAAAAAAACCATTTAAATAACGAATTTCCTCAATAAGACCTAAATTATAAATTTCAGAAGGTGCACTTTTTCATATGTTAACGTGAATTAAATTTCCTTATGAATGATGAAGTTCACAGTTCATATATTAATAGAAATGAGATTGAACAAGCAAAAAAACAAAACAATATCAGTAACAATTTTCATACAAAATGATGCCAGAACAAAACATAACCTAAACCCTTCCATAGTGGATACTTCAAAAAAGTTTAACGGATGTCTAATCATTTTTTACGAATAGCACCAATGAAAAAGTTGTTGTTATTTGATCAATCTCTCATAAAGAGTGACTTTTACTTTTATACGTATCACTTTTTTCTTCTAACCTGTTTTTTCATACTACTACCTTTTAACATAGAGTTGATCTAGATGTCTAGTACATATTCGCCTGTTCTACTGAAAAAAAAACAAATCAAAACTTATTAGACATCCTTTATACAATTTAATGTCAAATAACTGCCTTCGGAAATTATATTAAAAAAAAATTTTCGATTGAAAACTTTTCAATCTGTCAATTCTAATATTACAAGTTTTTCTGTCTGAATTCATTGTTTAATAAAACGATGCCATAGATTTGAATTTAAAAAAGAAAAATATTTAGCCCTAAAGAGGGCTGTTGGGTTTTTATTTATATTAATTGATGTTATTCATTTTTATTTGATTGAGCAGTAAGAATTAAAAAAAACCGCTTATGAACCGAAACCGTAAAGTGTACGACCTTGTCGTTTAAGTGCATAGACAACATCCATGGCTGTAACTGTTTTACGTTTGGCATGTTCTGTATATGTAACAGCATCACGAATAACATTTTCAAGAAAGATTTTAAGAACACCACGAACTTCTTCGTAGATTAAACCAGATATACGTTTAACACCACCTCGTCGAGCAAGACGACGGATTGCTGGTTTTGTAATACCTATTGAATAATAAAAATATAATAGATTTGATTATATTATATTAAACAAAGACAAAACAAAGAAAACATACCTTGGATGTTATCACGTAAAACTTTACGATGGCGTTTAGCACCACCTTTACCAAGACCTTTACCACCTTTACCACGTCCGGACATTGTTTAATTTGTTTAAATGTAAATAAACAAGAAGAAGAAGACGGCTTGATGAATATGAGGATAAGAATGAATTACACAGTTGTTTTTATACTCGATATACATAGATATATTGATTGGTTGTTTTGGAAAACAAAGACCCAGACTTATTCATTGGTCAGTTAGTGATTCTATTATTGAACCAATAAAACATAGATGACCGTCTTATTTATAAAGAGCGTTCGTTTTCTTGCGTTTCTATATTTCTCATCGAAACATTTCATCGCATTCTTATATTATACACGTAAAATATAATATATAAACAATGGCTCGTACAAAACAAACTGCACGTAAATCAACTGGTGGTAAAGCTCCACGAAAACAATTAGCAACAAAAGCTGCACGAAAATCAGCTCCAGCTACAGGTGGTATTAAAAAACCACATCGTTTTCGTCCAGGTACAGTTGCTCTTCGTGAAATTCGTCGTTATCAAAAATCGACTGAATTACTTATTCGTAAATTACCATTTCAACGATTGGTTCGTGAAATTGCACAAGATTTCAAAACAGATCTTCGATTTCAATCATCAGCTGTTATGGCTTTACAAGAATCATGTGAAGTATGTTAAATTTTT